TAGTGTGGACTTGTTGGGCTGAATGGCCTGCTTCCACATTGAAGGAATTCTATAATCTATTCTATGACAGAGTAAGGAAGACCATTATCAACATGGGGCTGAGCAGTGACCTGTCTGCAACAGCTCTTCGAGCATCAGATACATATTACTTCACTGGTTATGGATCCGTGTTAATGATATGTTCACCAGATTGTGTCCCTACTGTCAAAGGTGCACCCACTGAGGTGACTATGTTTATGTTGGCAAAGGCTGCAAAGGAATGCCATGTTGTTATGTCCTCTGAGGATTGGAAGCCATTCACCTCAGAGGTAGTGGCAGAGCTAGAGGTCGAGAAAGTGCTGGAGGCGGTGATGGGCAGGAAAGTGCTTCCTTTTATTCTGTTGAGCACTGGTACATGGGGTGATGAACAGAAAAAAAAATCAGCCAATGGTTATGTGCACCCCCTTGTCTAAACAACGTTTCAGTCTCTTGGCACATTTGATGACAGCAAAAGTCCTCATTAGCTTTTTGTGCAAACCAGTCTGTCCCTGTGCATAGACTTGATCACTGTCGTCCCCTCCAACCACCTACTCAGAAGGTGAAAGTTCAAATTCCATTGATCTGCAACTGCTCCCTTCCATAAAGAATGTTATTTTCTTGCAGAGACAAAAAGACTGACTGCTTCTGAGACAGATTGTCATTCTGAGTATACCAAGATTCTGCACCTAGGTACCTTTGTACTTAAGGTAGTGCTATAAGTAGTGACCTGTAAACTTTTCACTGCACTTATGTGAGTACATGTGACAATAACCCTAATTCAATTCCATTCTGTTCAGCCCAGTGGGTGGGCATGAGTATTCATACTAATGCCAGTTCCTGAGTCCCCTTTATTAAGTATTTAGAAATGGCAGTATTCTGTACCTTAAGGAACATTTGATAGCATGAAGTGGCTACCGCACATTCAGTGCTGTAGTCCACCTGACGCTGAGGCTTGCACACAATCCTTTAATGTGATATGTATCTGCTCTGGCACAGTGAGACTTTGTGATTTCCCCTTTGACAGTCATAGAGTCGTACAGCACAGAAACAACACTTCGGCCCACTCATCCACGCCAGCCAGGTTTCCAAAACTGAACTAGTCCCATTTGCCTGCCTTTGGACCATATCCCTCTAAAACTTTCCTACCCATGTATCTATCCTCTACCACTTCCTTTGGCAGCTTGTTCCATATATGCACCACCATCTGTGTGGAAAAAGTTCTCCCTCCGGTCCCTTTTAAATCTTTCCCTCTCACCTTAAACCCATGCCCTGTAGGTTTGAACTCCCCTACTCTGGGGAAAAGACTTTGGCTATTTACCTTCTCTATGTCCCTCATGATTTTATAAACCTCCATAATGTCACCCCCTGAAGCTCCCCTTGAGGGGAAAAAGTCCCAACCTGTCCAGCCTCTCCTTGTAACTCAAAACCTCCAATCTCTGTAACATTCTTGTAAATCTTTTTTGCACGCTTTCCACTTTAATAGCATCCTTCCTGTTGCAGGGTGAGCAGAACTGAAAGCAGTACTCCAAATATGGGCTTAACCAATGTCTTGTACAGCTGTAACATGACATCCCAATTCTTGCACTGAATGCTCTGACTGATGAAGGCAAGTTGCCAAACGACTTCTTCACCACGCTTGTCTACCTGCGATCCCACTTTCAAGGAACTATGTACCGGCACCCCCACATCTCTCTGTTCGACAACACCACCCAGGGCTGTACCTTTAGCTGTGTAAGTCCTCCTCTGATTTGTCTTAACGAAATGCAACATCTCACATTTATCTAAATTAAACTCCATCTGCCATCAGTTGGCCCACCGCTCAGTTGATCAAGATCCCATTGTACTCTTAGATAACCACCTTCACTGTCCACTATAACAGTAAATTTGGTGCCATCACTAACTTACTAACCATGACTCTCATATTCTTATCCAAATCATTGATATAAATGACGAAAGCAGTGGACCCAGCACTGATTCTTGTGACACGCCACTGGCCACAGGCCTCCAATCTGAATAATAACCATCTACCACTACCCTCTGACTCCTACTGTCAAGCCAATTTTGTATCCATTTGGCTAGCTCTCCCTAGATTGCATGTGATCTAACCTTACAAACCAGTCTACCATGTGGAACCTCATCAAAGACCTTGCTAAAGTCCATGTCGACAATGTCAACTGTTCTTTTTGCTCACTTCTTCAAAAAACACATCCAAGTTTGTGAGACATGATTTTCCACACACAAAGCCATGTTGACTGTCCCTATTCAGTCTTTGCCTTTCCAAGTGCATGTAGATCCAGCCTACCAGAATCCCTTCCAAAAACTTGATCACTGCTGACATCAGACTCACCGGTCTCTAGCTCCCCGGTGTTTCCTTGCAGCCTTTCTTAAATATGGCACCACATTAGCCAACCTCTAATCTTCTGGTACCTCACCCCTGGCTGTCGATGATACAAATGTCCTCTGATGCACCTGATTAGGTCCCAGGAATTTATCTACCTTTTATGCATTTTAAGACCTCCAGTATCTCTTCTTCTGTAATGTTGACTCTTTGTGATATCACTATTTGTTACCCCAAGTTCCCTAACTTCTATGTCTTTCTCCACAGTAAAAACTGAGGCAAAATTTTCATTTAGCATCTTACCTATCTCCTGTGGTTCCAGACACAGATGGCCTCCTTGATCTTTAAGGGTCCCTATTCTCTCTCTCGTTACCCTTTTGCCCTTAATATACTTGCAGAATCCTTAAGCTTATTTGCCAAAGTTATCTCTTGTCTCCTTTTTAGCCTCCTGATTTCCCTCTTGTATATATTCCTGCACCTCTTTACTTCCCAAGGGATTCACTTGATCCCTGTTGTCTACACCTTACATGTGCCTCCTTTTTCTTGGCCAGAGCCTCAGTATCTCTAGTTATCTATTGTTCCCTACTCCTGCCAGTCTTGCCATTAACACTAGCAGGAACGTGCCATCCCTGAACTCTTGTTATCTCACTTTTGAAAGCCTCCCACCTCCCAGACTTAATTTCACCTGCGAATAGCCTCCCCCAATCAACTTTTGAAAGTTCCTAATACCATCAAAATTGGCCTTGCCCCAATTTAGAACTTTAACTGTAAACCAGGCCTGTCCTTTACCATAACTATTTTAAAACTAAAAGAATAATGGTGACCGGTCCCAAAGTGTTCCCCAACTAACACTTCAGCCCCTTGCCCTGCCTTATTTCCCAAGAAGAGGTTGAGTTTTGCCCCTTCTCTCATAAGGCCACCTACATATTGATTGAGAGAGTTTTCTTGGACATCCTTAACAAATTTCTTCCCATCCAAGCCTTTAACACTGTGGCACCCTCAGTCTATGTTTGGAAAGTTAAAATCCCCTATTTCTACAACTGTATTATTCTTATAGCTATCTGCAATCTCCCTACATATTTGTTCCTCAATTTCCTGCTGTCCATTGAGGGGGCCTGTAGTACAATCCCATCAAAGTGATCACCCCCTTTCCAATTTCTCAGATTTGCTATGAAATCCTCCAGGAATATCCTGTCTAAGTACTGCCATGATGTTTTCACCGATCAAAAATTCCACATCCCCCTCCTCTCTTGTCTCCCTGCCATCCTTCCAATAGCATCTATACCCCAGAACATTGAGCTGCCAGTCCTGTCCCTCCCTCAGCAATGTTTCTGTAATTGCTATGATATCTCGGCCTCATGTTCCCTTCCATGTCCTGAGTTCATCTGCCTTACCTTTAAGACACCTTGCATTGAAATAAATGCTGTTTAATTCATCAGTTTTCCCTTGTTCTCTGCCATGCTCATGCCTGCATTGTCTATTTAACTTGCTGTCTTTAACTTCTGTACCAGCCTCAACCTTCTCTCTTCCCTCACTGCTGCTTAGGGTCCCTTTTGAGTGAGTATATGCTGTCGCCTACCCTTCTGGAGCTCAGCAGATCATTCATCCTCTTTCTGCATTGCAGCCAGGTTTGCCTAAGGGTCCCATAGTTGTTAACTTCAGGTACATGGATCTGATATTCAAGATGGTTCTAACGCAGATTCAGGGAGGCGGCAGCAGAGGCGAATTTGGACCCAAGACCCAGCAGCATCACCAGCGAGATGGGCCTGAAGCGGACATGTGGCAGCAGCAGAGTTGAGTTTGGGAATGGTGCGGTACCCAGAAGTATCAGTAGTGTCTGCATTGGCAAAGTTCATCAAGGACGCGTAGTGACGAGGGTGTCGGTGGAGGTGAGATGGCGCCAAAGAGTGGCGACTTTTGTTCAGCGGCACGGCAAAGGATAGAGCACTTAATAGGAAGGACTAAGGTTGAACAATTTCTTTATTTCTTCATTTTTCTGCCTTTATATTCTATGTTTTGATTTATTTTTCTGTTCTTTAAGATGGGACTGGAGAGTGGCGACGATTCAACAATCTTCACTGTAGTTTGTTTAAAAAAAAATACATGGGCAATAAATAAATCAAATCAAATGAGAGAGCCTAGTTTTGCCATTCTTGGAGCTCAAAGCCTAAGACTTTTCCTGGCCGACCTCTAGGAAAACGTGCAGCAAGGCATCACTAAACCATGGAACCTCTTGCTAGTTTGACTGTGACATCTCTGGGTGGGGGTAGTGGCACAACCAGCATGGGCTGACTGAGCCTCCTGGTGTGCAATAAGTGAATGCTTGTCCCAGCTACCCTATTAAATATGGTGGCCAGACCAGTGAGCCTGGAAAGTAGCAGTAGCTGAATTGAGAACTTGCATTTTACCTGCTACACAAGCATTTTTTGTTCTCCTTGCACATGCATATATAGTAAACTCAGAATTTCAAGATTACATTTACAGGTCCGCAGTAGACTTAAACTGCATAAGGAAAATTCTGCCCTCTAGGTTTGTGCAATGGCAGTAAATACGCATGAAAAGTATATCAATTGACTGTAAAGCCATTGGTCGTGTCCTGCAAATATGAAATGTGCTTCTAAATGTTTTCTTTTACAATTTAAAGTACAGAACTGCAGCAGCAGTGTTCTCTTTACCTGTCTGTCACTGAAGATGGAAACCATTCATCAGACTGCTGCAGCAGTATGAAGCAGAGAGCTATAAAGGCAGAGTTACAGCTTTTGAAAATGCAGTATTGGATGTGTCAACAACATTGTTGGAGAGCTTACAACATGGCTGTTGAGGAGAGAGGCTTTAGAGACCTGGGGTAAGTGAATTATGCTGACAATGTAAAATTGTCTGTGTTTCATTTTAAGTATGTATTGCATTGGTGGAGTCTTACAGTTTGGTTGAAAAGTGCTATCTAATGATTTCCAAAGTAAATGATGTGCCTTAGATTTGCAGCTTTTTGATCATCAATCTCGCTCCTAATATTTATTTGATCTTGACAAGTCTGAATCCATCTTCTAGATTTGTAGCATGGGAAATGGATAGAAGGGCAGTAATTTAGTTTGAATTATTGCTTCAGTGCCTCCACGAAAGAAAACTAAAAATTCTAAACTGTTCCATGTGCAGCGTATAATCAGTTCTGCATAAAGTCAGAAATCTACAGCACAGAAAAGGGCCCTGTAGCCTATCATGTCCATGCTGGTTTAAGAGAAACCTAACTATTCATGTAGGTTCACAGGACTGAACATTGAGCTCTTGAAATAACATTATCTATTCCGTTAAAGAATTTATCTCTGACTACATCCCATGTTACTTCACTTTTTTGTTTAACTATTACAAATTTCCATTTCTGTATTTATACTGGAAACTATTTGCATCAACATTCAGGGTGTTCCAATGGTGCCAAGGGAACTTTAGGTAAAAGATTAAAATTATGAGATACTCAGAATTATTCAATTTGAGATAACAATCAAAAGAACCTTTTACCTCCTAAGACCATCATCTTGTGTTGGGGCTTACTTGCCCCAATACAAGCAGCTCTTGACTATTCCACCTCATGACCCATTTGTTTTTGAGTATGATCATCTCTTCATGTGTGGTAAAAAAATTCTCTTAGGAAGAGCTTGAACTCTGTTATTGAACTGGGATCTGACAGGCAAAAATTGCAGGACATCAGGGAGGAAGGAGTTACCTGGAGATTTGATTTCGGATGGGTATTCTCCCTTAGGCTAGATTGTGATATAGATCTAGTTAATTCTCAGGATCTGGAGCATGTGACTATGACTTAGACAAGTAACTAGATCCCAAGTGCAATGCTGGAGGGAGCTTCTGATTTTGCTACCTGAGTAGATGAGGAATAGTCTGCAAGTTAGATGAGTAAACTCTCTGTGGTACCATAGTATGAAACAGTCTAGTCAGGAACATAGATACTGTTCTCTACAGCCGTGACCAGAAATTTCAAAGGCTTTGTTGCCTGGTACATGGCATTGAGGGTTTTTCTTTTCTCTTCGGAGTTGGTGGGGGAGGTGGTGGATAGTGAAGAGACAAGTTGTCATGGTCCACGTTGGTGCTGACAACATAAGGACTAAGAAAGATATTCTTCTATGGGAATATGAGCTGGTAGTGAAAACTTGCTTTAAAAAGCAGAACCATAAAAGGTAATAATTTCTGTATGAATACCTAAATAATGAGAGAGCATTTGCATTGGTTGCCTGAGAACAGAGAGCTGAATATGTGGCTCAAAGATCGGTGTAGGTGAAATGACTTTTAATTTGAGAACTACAGGCACCTGTATTGGGAGGTCTGTTGTTGTGAACGTTTCATTGGGGATAGCAGTAGCATAGTGTAATGTCACTGGACCAGTAATCCGGAGTCCCAAGCTAATATTCTGAAGACATGTTCAAATTCCATCATCGTGATGGTGAAACCAGAACTCAATAGAAGTCTGGAATAATTAGCTAATCTAATGGCGACCATGTAACCGCTGTTTATTGTAAAAATCTAGTGGTTTGCTAAGAGTCATTAAAGTCATTCAGCACACAAACAGACTCTTTGGTCCAATTCATACATTCCAACCAGATATCCTAAACTGAACTGGTCTCTTTTTTGCCTGTATTTGGCCCCTGTACCTCTAAACCTTTAATGTTGTAATTGTACCTGCCTCTACTACTTTGCAGCTCATTCCATAGATGCACTACCCGCTGTGTGAAAAAGTTGCCCCTCAGGTCCCTTTTAAATCTTTCCCCTCTCACCTTAAACCCACGCCCTTCAGTTTTGGATACCCCTCCCATTGGAAAAAGATCTCAGCTATTCGCCCTATCTATGCCCTTCATGATTTTAGAATCGGAATTAGGTTTATTGTCACGAGTACTCAATTACGGAGTGCAATGAAAAGTTTACAATGTCGGTCCACACGGTGCCACCTTAGGTACAAAGTACCTGGGTTCAAATCTTAGATAGAAAATGGAGTGATGAAAAAAGTTACATTATTTTACAGTTATTCATAGTATAAGTTAGAAAAATAAGAAAAAAAAATAAACATTACAGCCTTTGTGTAAAGAGCCCAGATCAATACAGGGGGCTTCCATGTGTTGGCTGACCAGGCTCGGAAGCCGCTGACCAATTCCACTGGTCCCCAGTCCAACAACCATGCCTGCTCCACTCCGGGCCTGCTGGCTGTCCCCACTCTGCTTGGGCCTCCACCAGGCTGGCTGTCCCTGCTCCACTCGGGCCTCCGATGTTACCACTGCTCCAAGGAAAGTTTTTAAAAAACACTTGAAAGAAAGCTTGGAGAGAAGAATGACGAGAAAAGAAATTTGTTTAAAGACAGTTCCCTACCCCACTTCTTACGGCATCAATAAACAAAGATCTTACAAGATTGAACTGTTCAGTATAAACCTCTATGAAGTCATCCCTTAGCCTCTAATATTCTGGGGATGAAAAGATGTCAGCCTGTCCAACCTCTCCTTTATAACACAAACCCTCCAGTCCCAGCAACATCCTTGTAATTTTTTTTCTAGTTGAACAACATCCTTATAGCTGTATTCCAGAAGTGGCCTCACCAATGTCTTGTAAAGGCTGCAAAATGATGTCCTAACTCCTATACTCAGTGCTCTGACCAATGAAGACAAGTGTGCTTAATGCCTTCACCACCACCCTGTCTACCTGCAGTGCCACTTTTTCGAGGAACTATGAACCTGCACCCATAGCTCCTTCTCTTCAACAACACTCCCTGGGGCCCTACCATTAGCTGTGTAAGTCCTGCTGTGGTTTGCCTTACCAAAATGCAACACTTCACACTTCTCTAAATTACACACCATCTGCCACTTCTTGGCCCATTGGCTGATCTAATCAAAGTCTTGTTATGCTCTTGGATAACCTTATTCACAGTCCACTATACAACCAATTTCGGTGTCATCCGCAAACTTAGTATCAAAACCCCTATATTCTCAACCAAATTGTTGTTCGTCATTTATATCAACAATGGACCCAGCACTGATCTTTGCAGCACACTGCTGGTCACAGGCCTCTAGTCTGAATAACAGCCCACTACCACCACCTTACCTCTTATCATCAAGCCAATTTTGTATTCAATTGAATAGTTCTTCCTGGATCCAATGTGATCTAATCTTACTAACCAGTTTACCATGCGGAACCTTGGTGAAGGCTTTGCTAAAATCCATGTAGATAACATCATCTACTGCTCTGCCTTCATCTGTCTTCGTGGTAATCTCTTCAAAAAACTCAATCAAGTTCATCAGACATGATTTCTCACTTTCGAAGTTATGCTGACTATCCTTAATCTGTCCTTGTCTTTCCAAATGTATGCAAATCCTATCTTTCTCAATTCCGTACAACAGCTTAGCCACTACTGATGTCAAATTCACCATTCTATAGTTCCCTGGCTTTTCATTGCAGCCTTTCTGAAACAATGGCACAACATTAGCCATACTCTAATCTTCTGTCACCTCAAACGTGGCTGTCAATGATACAATAATCTCTGAAAGAGGCCCTAGCTTCCCACAATGTTCTGGGATACACTTGATCGGGTCCTGGGGATTTATCCACCTCTGTGTTGTTTGACCTCCGGCATCTGCTCTTCTGTAATGTTCAGAGATAGCAAGAACTGCTGATGCTGGAGTCAGAGACAATACAGCGTGGAGCTGGAGAAACACAGCAGGCCAGGCAGCACCAGAGGAGCAGGAAACCAGAAAAGTCAACTTTCCTGCTCCGCTGATGCTGCCTGGCCTGCTGTGTTCCTCCAGCTCCACACTGTATTGTCTTTTGTAATGTTAACTCTTTCCAAAACATCACTATTTTCTCAGTTTGCCAAGCTTCTGTATCTTTCACAGTAAATACTGAGGCAAAATATCGTTTAATATCTCACCCATCTGTTGAGGTTCCACACACAAATGGCCTCGTTGATCTTTAGTGTCAATACAGTGTGGAGCTGGAAGAACACAGCAGGTCAGGCAGCATCAGGGGAACAGGAACGTCGATGTTTCAGGTCAGGATTGAGGAGGGGGGAGTTCAGAAATAAATAAGAAGGAAAGGGTGATGGGGCTGGGTAAAGGCAGGTCAGGTGGTGATGGATGGATAGAGGTAAGAGAGATGGAGATTTGTCAATTGAAAGGGCAGGGTGGATAGGTGAGAAGGAAGGTAGGCAGGTTGTGTCAGGGCAAGGAAGCAGGGATGAGAAAGAGGGCTTGACATGGATGAGGCTGGAGTGGGGGGATTTTGAAGCTAGTGAATTCTAAGTTGAGACCATTGGGCTGTAAGTTGTTCCTCCAATTTTCGTGTGGCCTCATTGTGACATCGGATAAACGCCCAGGATGGACATGTTGCCAAGGGAGTAGGAAGGGGAGTTGAAATGGCTGGCAACCGGAAGGTGGTTTTGATTGGAGCATACAGAGCGCAGATGTTCCGCAAAGCTGTCACCAAATCTGCGCTTGGTCTCTCCGATGTAGAGGAGACCACGTTGGGAGCAACGGATGCAGTAGACTAGGCTGGAAGACTTGCAGTTGAGTCGCTGATGGATATGGAATGATTGTTCGGGGCTTGGGCGGAGATGAGAGGGTAGGTGTAAGGGCAGGTGTAACACTTTCTGTGGTTGCAGGGAAAGGTGCCAGGTGTTGGTGGGGAATGTGGAGTGGACGAGGGAGTCGCAGAGAAAGCGGTCCCTACAGAAAGTAGGTAAGGGTGGGGAGGGGAATATCTCTTTGGGGTTTCTGATTGCAGGTGGCAAAAGTGGCGCAGGATGATGTGTCGAATTCGGAGGTGAGAGGGGTGGTATGTGAGGACCAGGGAGACTCTAACCTT